CCCCACTCTGTCTCTGGAGAATCCTCTCACCCACCACACCTCTGTCCTGTACCCCAGTTCTGTAAGCATAAATAATTAAATCTTAAAAAAAAAAATGTCAGCCCTAATTTCCCATGTTACCCTTCCATGCTCTCCCATTCAAATCAAGACCTTTAAAAATATGCATGTTTAAGTGAGAACTTTCAATTATATAGGCATCTTTAATTCAAGAGCTAGGTAGCTGATTTTGCCAAGTTTACTATAACCTTTCGCCAATTATATATGATAACCTTGATGCCTCAATCTCAACTGTTATCAGACAGCTACTTGCTGATAATTTATTTTACTAAGTATCAGAATAGATAAGTTCTGTGATTTTTAAAAATGCTATTCCATTTCACAGAAAGTTCATTAAATTGTAGTACAGTTTCAAAAGTTATTGATGTACATAGAATCATCAATACTTTAAATTTTTTGCAAGAAAAAACATGAAAGCATTTATTTCAAAATAGCTTATCATTAATCCTAAATTTAATAATAACTCTGAAATTACCTGGGACCAAAAGACTACCATGTAAATTGCATATATGGGTGTATTTGTATTTCCTTTTCTTATTTAGTAAAGTAATTAAGGAACACAGAATTATATTTAAGTGCATATACCATAGGGCATTAATTATTCATAATTTATTCCACAAAATATTAGCTCAGAAAAAATATTAAAAGTCACTTAGCCCTTTCTCATTCTAACTCATATATAGAAAAATATACTTCATTTTAATTTATATTAAGATGTATAAGTTTATCTAACATCTATAAGTTTATCTATCTAAAATGTATAAATTTATAGATTAGCATGTATAAGTTTAGATTAATATGTATAAGTATACATGTATTGGAAATACATGTATTTCCAATTTTAAATCTCATAAATAGAGAAAAACTTGAACCAAAATATGACTTGGAGTGGTAGACTTTTACTTCTACTGGAGTTGGGCTAAAATGTGTTAGGATGAGCCATGTGAAATTGCAGTTTGATTCTACCTGTATTTTAAATCAGATGAAAAGAGGGTATAACTATTCTTTTTCACTGTACACACTACACCCAATACATACACTCAAACACACACACACTAAACTATCTCTGTTGTTTAAAGTAGTACCATCTTTATTAATGGTGACCAGAGCTCTCCCTCGCCATTACCCTACCTGCAATAGAATATACTGTCACAAACCATTTTCCTTCTGTCATGTTTATGTCTCCAAGTTGGATCTTTTATTTCTAATACAAAGTCAAAAGTAAACATACTAATTCTGGTTACCTACTGAGAAATGTCAAATGAAAATTTGCTCTCAAATACACACCTGTACCCATTGTCATTACATAAATCTTTAGAGCTATTTATTCTATAAGCATTGTTAATATTGATGTCACATTGTTTAGGGCCTCTAATTCATTTATATTTACCTTGAGAACAATCTATGTTGGTAAAAGTATATGGCCTTCAGATTTCTAAAATTATCCTTGTACTTTTGTCCAATCCTAACATTGTAAATAGAGACAATGTCCTTTGTATTACAAACACACAATGTACAGTCCACAAAGCAGGAGTTATCCTAGTGCCAAGATCTTTAGACATTGCAAAATGACTCACTAATTTTGAGTACTTGTTTCCTGCATCTGTCGTCAAAATTAGCCAAGCATCCTTTCTTGTGGAATTTTTAAACAGATATTCATAGAACATTGGGTTATTTGCAGTCTTTGTCTTGGAACAATCTTGGAAACTACTCTATGCAATATCAAAATTCCTTCTTCAAAAAATTAGACTATACACCTGCAACCTTATTATCCCACTTATTTATATATCTGCATTGGACCACATATTGTTAAAATATATATGTCTTCCATGCCCTTCCTTTTGCAATTCTTTTTATTCTTTGTAACGATTTATTTATGCATGCATGCAAGAACTGCATTATAGGCCAGAGGTGCAGGGGATGAGAGGATTCACCAGAGACAGAGTGGGGAACAGAACATGCAGATCTACTGAAATACACCACTGAAGGGAGCAGAGGGCAAAACAGGAGAGGTCTGCTGTGGCATGTGTGTCAGCTCACTCCTGGGGATCGAACTTGTGCTACAGTGGTTGTAGATAGTTTTGTATTGCTGTGTTTTAACCCCTTGTACCACCAGGGAGGCCCCTCCTTTTGCAATTCTTATAGTGCTATGGAACCAGCACAGTTCCTGTCACAGCAAGAATTAAATTTTTCCTTAGCACATCTATGGGCTTTGACTTATAAAATAGAAAATGTGTATCACATGTTTACCTTACTAAAAACAAAAACTCTAATTTCCATGTTTTTTTCCTACCAGTTACAAAGAGAACGCAATGAGGTTATCAAGGATACATCATGATCAACCTGTAAAGCCTCTGGATCGAGCTGTCTTCTGGATCGAGTTTGTCATGCGTCACAAAGGGGCCAAGCACCTGCGTCCAGCCTCCCATGACCTCACCTGGGTCCAGTACCACTCTCTGGATGTGATTGGGTTCCTGCTGGCCTGTGTGGCAACTGCTATGTTCTTAGTCACAAAATGTTGCTTATTTTCTTGTCAGAAATTTGGTAAAAAAGGAAAGAAAAAAAAGAGGGAGTAGATCATTATCAATTTGGTATATATCTGAATGGGAAATCCTGCTCATTTTTCTTACCATGCATTAGGAAACACATTCCATTCTGCTTCAAATTTCACAATCCACTAACATAATATTAAGATAAATTTAAAAGTTAACATTTACTACTAAGATATGATACCCCTTTCTTTGTCTCTTCCAAGATAGCTTCACCTTATTTCTCTCACTTTACTGACACAGGGAAACCAATAATATTATGCTTATTGTAATGAGTATATCAGGTTTTTCTTCACTTTTAACATTAAATGATGTGCTAATAGACAATATGCTGAATTCTGGGAATACACAAAACATAAGCTGAGTTTGATGGCTATAGAGAACACAGAATAAAATTCACAAGTTTCCCTAGGTCATACAAATCAGAGAACCATCTTAGGACATTTGTGTAAGAGTGATAATTACTTTTTTTCATTAAAAAGTCCATCTGCGTCCCTCCCTGGTGGCGCAGCGGGTTAAAGCACAGCACTGAAAAGCTAAAGCCACTTCTGCATGAGTTCAATCCCCGCCTGCCCCGGAGGTGACCACATGGCACGGCAGACCTCTCCTGACCTGCCCGCTGCTCCCCTCAGCAGTGTACTGTGTCAATCTGCCTGTTCTGCTTCCCAGTCTGTCTCTGGTGAATCCTTTCACCCTCCGCATCTCTGGCCTGTACCCCAGTTCTATACAAATAAATAAATATTAAAAAAAAATCCATCTGCTTGCCCAGTGTTGCCCAGTATTCATCAAAAGATGAATAAATACCAATTGTGATGGCACATCACACTAGAAAAGATCCACACATTCCCACTAAACACATGAATAATTATGACCTGCATTCCACCGTTCATCAACAAAGTAATCTTATGTGCCTCAGCACTATTTGCAAGTAAGAGATAGGCTGAGTCATTTTTTTTTTTTTTGAGAGACACAGAATGTCAGCAATATGTTAAAGTGAACAGATCATTTTAGAGGCTATAACAAGAAATACTGATAAGGATTTTTAGTAATTTAATGAAAGTTTCAATTAGTAGCATAATAACCACCAAATTAAACATCAATGAGTTATAAAAATTATTGAAAATCACTAATGTTCATAATCTAGTAATACTTTTTATAATCAAAGCCTTATTTTTATGCTAAAACAAGTATCTACCGGGTAAGTAAAAGCATTGCATTATTTGTATCTCCATTTTATCTCTATCACATATCTCTATCTTACATAGTTTAGATTCATCAGTCACTTGTTATGACAAGGAGATATGATATTCGCAGAACTGATTGAACATGGCTGTGTTTTAGTAAAAATTTATAAATGCAAATCACTAATTAAAGATAAATGCTCACCTTTGAATCGGTTTTTCATAATTAATGAATTAAAGATTGGAATTTCTTTACCCCTTATAATCTTAATATCATGATTAACTGGACTTTAATTCAATATTTAGGACATAAATCATAGCCACTGCTTTGTAACAATTTTGAAATTCTTATTATTTTCAGTATGTGATATTACCAATCATTTCCAATTTATAAATACGTGCAATAATGAAATTCAAATAAATTCTTTATTTTGTGTGTGAAGGCTAAGATGTATTTGTGGCATGTTAGCATTTTTAAAGGGTGATTCATATTATTAATTCTTTTTTTATTTTTGCATGGAAGAACTGGGGTGTAGGGCAGAAATGTGGGGCTGAGAAGATTCACTGAGATAGAATGGGGAGCAGAACAGGCAAATTTAGTGACTTACACTGTTGAGGGGAACAGTGAGTAAGACAGGAGAGGTCTGTTGCAGGTGTTGGTCAGCAACCTGGCTGGGATTGAACTCATGCTGCAGTGACTGCGAGTAGCTTCAGAGTACTGAGACTTAACCCCTTGCACTACCAGGAAGGCTCCCTCAGACTCTCTTTCATTTTTGAAGTCATGTTAGTACCAAATCAGAATCATTGTTTCCATACAGATACCAAGTTTACACTCCGATGTTTCAAACAGAGATGTTTTAGTAAAATAATAATAATAATAACTTAGCAAAGAACTGAATAGTGTGAAGGAAACTGAAAGGACTAGTGGAGAACACAAAGACTACCAAAATTAGAAGTCATTACTAATCCATAAAACCTTAAAAAAAAGTGTTGTAATATGTCTAATGATTATTGAGGATTTGAATTGAGGTTGTGAAGGAAGAAACAAATGACAACAGAAGTCATAATGAAAAGGATAAATAGATAAGGCAAGGTTCCGAGTCAGTGATGAAATACAGTTACTCTCCTCCCCCCATGGAATCCAACCAGAAGCCATATAGCAGAGGAATCCAGTTAAGATGCAGATGTGAGTCTCAACCCTGAGGTATGTGAGACATGTCTCATCCATCTCTAGGTTAAGTTTGCAATGTCTATGCATAAACTCAGTGAGATGCACACTTAGCCATAATAATCCATCACTTACCAAATTTATAGACTTTCTGCTTTCATTAATATTAATTTAAACTTGAAAAAATATTAGTAATGAACAGATACCATATAGTGGCTATATCTGAGATGTAGCTAAACTGAATTTTCAATTATAGTCTACAACCTGAAAATAATTATATAACTAATTTTTCAGCAACTCCCTTTAGAGTCATTGGGGGAAAAAAGGTACTCAAAATAATCAAAAAAAAATTGGATAATTCCTTGTAAAATTTATTAAAAATTTAAAGCTGTCTGGAGTTTACTTTTCTATTTCAAAGACATCTAATCAAACAGCATACCTGAAATTCTCTTAGAATCCACAAATGTGAATCCAGATATTGTAAGGTTTACTTCCCCTCACCAAAGACTAATGACAGTTTTAACTATATACATTGACATAAGTAATATTATGGAAACTCCTAAAGTTTTTTTTTCCTGAAGGGATAGTGGATAGTTTGGAAGCAGATGAGAGTAGCAAGAGGGAATTCAAAGAAGAAATTCATGATGTTTAACCAAGATCTTTAAGAATGACTAAGATTTACCCACGCTGTGTATGCAAGATTTAGCATGCAGTGATTAAAGTGTAGACACAAAGAAAAAGGTTGACAGGTGATTTCTGGAGATATTAACAAATTAAATAACAAAAACCTGAACATAATTCCTAGTTCTCATACCAAATTAAAGTTTTTCTACTCACTGGGTAACACCCTCTTCTTTCACCAAACTTATCTTCATATCCCAAATTAAATTTGTCTCTGTTCAATTCTAAACACAATCAGTCAAAAAAATTCCACTTCCGGTATGCCATGCTGACTTGCCCCTGAGCCCCTAATGCACTGAATTCCTGATATAAGGACCCATCCTATATCACAAGCCAGAGAAAAGTGCACATTCTGGGGATTTTCATGTTTTGGCCCCTTCCTTTGGAATAAATTTGCCAGCGCTTGCAAATCCTTTATATTTCAATTTCAATTTTATTTTACTATGTTAGTCTTCTCTCTCCCACATATTCCTTTCCAAAACTACCCTGTCTGTCATGTTTACTTTTTCTTAAATATGTATTGGCCAATAACTATAGCTTAGACAAGGAGAGGACATCGGAAAGACTGACTTTCACTGTAGTGGATCTCATGCTAAAAATCCACTTAGTACCAACAGAAGAGGAAGAAAAAACAAAAGACATAGGCAAGGGTACAAAGTAAACAGTGGGAGCCCTTGCAAAAGATAGGATCTATATTTTGTCACATCTCCTTCAAGTTCCAATGTGCAATCAAGTGTTACAAACTCAAGCAGTGGAAGCAGTGGACAGCTATATCCCTCTACATACTTAGAAACACAATGTTGATCTTATCTACCATCAAATTACATATAGCAACACTTCAAAACCCTTTCAGAATACCTTGTGAACACTGTGTCCCTTGCCAGCTCTAGACAATGACCTTCCACTTATTTTTATTATGAGTCTGTCCATTGTGCTAATCCTTCTTCTAAATGAATTTTTTTTTACTTTTTATTCTCTTAATTTTTATTTCCTTAATGTTATTTATTTATTTTAACAAAGTGCATTGTTCTACATCCTTGTTAATATTTCGACGGTAAAGGATTTCTCCCCTCAGGGGTGATCACTGTAGCACCCATCGTCCTCCTCCATAGTCGATGTTCTCTCCTCACCCTGTTCCCACTCCTCCCTCTTTTTTCCCCTCCCCTCTAGAATGCATCAGATTTATGATCAGTTTTCAAGGGCTGGTTTTAAAGTTTGTCTTTGTCTGAACCTTTGTTTGGTTTTTCTATATTCCACATATAAGTGACATGATCTGGCACTTATTTTTCTTTTCTGGCTTTTTTAACTTAGCATAAGCCCTTCCAGCTTCATTCATGTTTCCATAAGTGGCATGAGTTCATATTAGCTGTTGTACATATATACTATATCTCTTTGATACACAAACCTATTTTTGGACATTGAGATTGTTTTCATGTTTTGCCTATTGAAAACAATGCTGCTATGAACATAAGAATGCAGGTTTCTTTTCAAATTAGTGTTTTTGAACTCTCTGAGTAGATACGCAGGAGTGGAATTGCTGGGTCACAAAGCATATCCATTTTCAGTCTTTTAAGGAACCCCCACTGCTGTCATGGAGCCAGTTCAGCCTACTGGCAACTACGCCCTTGCTAACACTTGTTTCTGGTCATTTTAATATGCACCATTCTCACTGGTGTGAAGAGACACAGCATGGTGGTTCTGACTTGCATTTTCTTAATAAGAAGCAATGAACTTTTTTTTTTTAAGATTTATTTATTTATGCATACAGAACTGTGGTACAGGCCAGAAGGGCAGGGGCAGTGAGAGGCTTCATCAGAGACAGAGTGGGGAGCAGAACAGGCCAACTGACAAAGTACACTGCTGAGGGGAGCAGCGGGTAGGTCAGGAGAGGTCTGCCACGCCATGTGGGTCACCTCCGGGGCGGGATCGAACTCATGCTGAAGTGACTATAGCTTCTTAGTGCTGTGTTTTAACCCACTGCGTCACCAGTGAGGGCCGTGATGAACATTTTTTTCATGGCAAACTATACGTT